CCACGCCTACCGGTAACAGAGCGCAGTAGTTAAACAACAAGTCTTGGCTACTAGTGAGTCTCCGCGATGAGCCTGCCCGAAAATGTGTTTCGAGATCAACCAAAATGTCTGGGATTCGGCTTTTGCGTTCTACAGTCGCCATTCATTATGTTTCCTGTGGCGAGCGGGACGAGTGAGGGCCGCAGGAGAACGGCGCGAAGCCGGTGGCGTGATTACCGATGAGCGACACCTGTGAGACGCACCGGTCTCGTATCTCTCACGGAGGAGCGGGAATTTCCTTAGCGACGTTAAAACGCACATCAACCGATCACTTGTTTAGCGCTCATGTAAACACTACATTCAGATTCACCAATCAGAATGAATTCAGTTAGATTGAAACAAAAGCTGTGCATGTAAGCAATGACTGTAGTCTTTAGCCTCTGGACAAAAAAATCCTCAGATGATGCAAAATGATGCAAAAAATACATAAATCTCTCGTCTCAGGGGGATATGAGGGTGGAAATGGTTATTCGAAATACTAAAGGTTTTCTACTAAACAAAGCTTAATGCAAAATCCTGAAGTATCCCTTTAATGTGGTAAAAACTAAAACTAAACTAAAATTTAAAACATTTCAACTTTTTCTTCTCTCAGGAGCTTGAATTCATACAGTCATTATTATAATGAGAACTTTTTTAGCCAAACTCATTTGTTTTGGAAAATTTGCATGATGCAAAATTATTATTTTTATTATTTTTTGCTAAAGGGCCTTCTAGGGTCTGACAACCTAGGCATCTCCTCTGATACGTCTACAGGGTGTGTCTGGGGAACCAGGCAAACATGACAAATCCAGCAACAATGAATCACTCTCGCACTGATGAATCAAGTGCACTTGTTTACAGTAAATGTGTCACTCGGCATTCTATAAGAAGATATCTCTCTGACATCATGTGATTGTTCTGGAAGGATATTACTTAATAACAACAACAAAAAAAAATTGCTACCGGCAGAATGAAGCATTGGACATAGTTTAACAATCAAATGAATAACAAATCATATTCACACTAGCATTTAAAGGTTTGGAATAAAATTAATATTTCGTTGAAAATTCAGCTTTGTCATCACAGGAAAATGTTATATTTCAAAATATTAAACAAGTTGACTTAAATTGCAATAAAATGTCACAATATTACTTTTTACTGTATTTTTGAGCAAACAGACATATCAAAAGAATCATCCCGACCCCAAACTTTTGAATGGTGGTGCATTAAGAAAAAAATTACAACGGTAACATGAAGTAGATGTTGTTGCATACCTCTAAACATCTAAAACTTACTGTTCGACTTTATTTCAAAAACAATCCAAAGTATGAGGCAATAAATAGTGACTGTTGCCTTAACAAACACCAGTAATAAATGTGGCGTTGAGCGGTTTATGAGCCCGTCTGGACTCTTGCCTACAGATAAATCTTTCAAGAGGTTTGCAGATCTTGCTCACTTCAACAATGACTAAGGTAATTTTAAGCAGCAATAATCAAACAATGATAGCCAGGGGTAGATATGTTTCTATTTGCATAATGAGCTCACAGAGACGGCCTGAATCAAAACTACAGAGAGCGACTACAAGAAACTATTCATACCAACTTAATATCCTCACAGAAGTTTGTAAATCTACAACTAGCCAAGTTAAGGTCTGACACAACATAATAAACACAAATACTGCCAGACAAAACCTTGTCCAACTGGACGGCTGCCCAAACAGGAAGCATGATACTGTATTGGAGTCAAAGAGGTGAAAGGCTATAACTCTTCAACGGAGGTATCAATTATCTCAGATTTAACCCCTACAAAAACTAAAATCTTATCAGAACCAGTAACGTCACTGAAAAAAATGTGTTTGCATGTTCATATAGATAATCAGAGGTGGACATTCTGTACTACCATGGCGATATTTGCATAAGGAATACATAACACAACTTATAACACCGTAACATGAGTCAGCACTTCAACTGTGTAAACATTAATTTCTTATCTAACAAGGCCATATCTATATTACATCAAAAAATGTATTAAATGCTCATCAATGCGCAGTAAATGAATTGCGAATAATAAAGTGTAATCTGTTTTTGTTTTTTTTTTTGTGTGGCAAATTTCAATATGAATCTGTGCTTTTGAGAGTTTACTTGTGTTCATGTTGTTTACGTGAAATTGCCACGATGACCAACAAAAAAGCTACTTGGTTTGAAGGTGACTTTTGTGTGAGCTGTGCTTCACACATCGATACGCTACCGGCAACAAACAAAGGACCCTTTTCACACACAAAAGTGTACTGAAGAATTGCTAATGTGAATTTCATATCCCTTTTATTGGCATCCTTCTCCTCACACACACACAAAATGTTTAATAAAATATCATTTTAATAAAATATCCAAAAGAAAAAGTGGGACGACATAAATAGAAGGACCATAAATCCCTTAATTAATAACAGTTACTACTGTTTGTATGGCAGTGTTTTTATGAAGGTAAATGTAAGACCTTTTTGAGACCAAGTAAAGAAAAATGTAAGGAATAAACTGAAGGGAATACAATACGCAATATGTTTTCTAAATGTAAATGTCTAGGGACAAACACAACTACAATCTATTACTTACAAAAACCTTTGCTCTCAACCACTAGCATATGTAAATTTCTTTTATGGTACCTTCTAATCACAGTGCAAAAATAAGTATTTTCTATTTTCTTTCTACTTTCCAGTGCAATTGTCTATATAGACATTTACTGGGGATGCAAAATGAAATTGGTCAAAATGAAGCGAGTTTGATTAAAACAAGAGCAAATATTGGCCAATGGGCTCAGAAAAATCAGCTTAATTCAAAAGAAAGTTCCCCTAACTTTCCCATATTTGTTTTAGTTTTAAGCATAAACCATTCAGTTTGTTAAATTTTTCAAGACTTGATTTTAAATTAGCATCTAAGTAAATTTATCAAAGATATTTGTATTTAAAAAAAAAACTGCAAAAATACTGAGGAAGGAATGCCATGACTATGAATATAAAACCGTCCTTTTTAAGGCCTTAATTTGAGTTAGGGCAAATTAAGACCCGCAGAAACCCTGTATAGTCTAGTAAGGGGCAATGGCATCCAGAAAGACAAAGGGTTCGAACTCCATACGAGCCTTGATCCTCTATAAAGAACCTTGATTTCTTGACTGGTGCTGGAGTGATGCAACGTTAAGAAATACAAGTTATGAAAATAAAGCTCCCTTTACAGCAGTGGAGTAAACATTTCCCTCATTAAGGCCCTGATCTGCAGAGACTTGTGAGACTGCTTTCGTATGTGCGCTCCCCTCAGCAACACCTGATTGAAACTCTGATATGAGTGGGGGCGGCTTCCAAAACACAAACTCAAACTGGCTCCCCTGGACAGACAAAGCGAGTGAAAATATTTCATTTTTAAATCTAGACTAAAAGCACATCTCTTTAACCTCTGTAACCTCTTTCTATTATTTTAAATCTAGACTGCATAAACACTCCCTAAAACACCCGATGTACTTGTTACATCATGAGAAGAATGGCATCTACGCTACACTCTTAGAAGAAATGGTTCTATTTAGAACCAGAAATGGTTCCATCCCCCGCTTCATATATGGAACTCCAATATAGAACCATTTTTTTTTTTTTTTTTGGTAAAAGGTTCTATTGGCCAAGTATGGAACCACAGGGTTCTATATAGAATCCAGAGGAACCCTTTTTTTAAGAGTGTATAGAACCTTTTAGGGGTTCCAAATACGTAGCGCTGATGGAACCTTTTAAGGTTCTATATAGCAACATGACATCGTGACTTTTGCGTAAACATATACGCCACTTTCGAGTCAGGTGGCGTGTTATCTCCACGCATTTTGAGCTATCCGCGTGTATGCCTACGCCATTAACGTCCGCATCATTCCGCGTGTCTGAACACGCAGTCAAATCTCCAGTCATAAATGCCATTAACCCCAGTGACGGTTAGGTTTAGGGACGGGGTTGAGGTAAGTCATATATTTATATAACGTTAAGTCAACGGCGTTCATAAACACGCTGAAAGGCGATTATGCGTCTTGATAGCACGCCAAAAATGGAAAGACGAATTGCCGTGTCATACACACGCTACTTCATGAGATCAGTCTGTATATAGGACCTTTTCTTCTAAGAGTGTAATATTAGTCTATCTTGTGTATTCCGAGGTAACCGTAAACAGCCGGAACCGGGAACACGTCCTAAAACACCCGATGTACTTGTTGTTACATCGTAAGAAGAATAGCGTCTACACTAATGTTAGTCTGTCCGTCTCATCCTTATCCTGAGGTTACCGTAGTCAGCCGGATCTGGTCCATATTCAGATCAGTTGTAGACCTAGACACGACCTCAACGTAGCCCTGAATGTCGGCAGAGATCCTGCCAACTAGACAATCCCCTGTGAAGGCCTCGTCACAGATCCTCAGCAGAGACCACAAGAACCAGACCGGTCCTCCGCACAGACCATACGGCCAGCTTCGGCTCCGTGATGAATCTGATCTTCAAGCAAAAGGAACTGGATGAATATCTGAATGCGACCGATCCTGATCTGAATTCTGACTTGTGATGTAGTCTGAATCACAATCGCACCGTGTTCGTTCGTTGGCCAGAGGAGAACTGGCCGAGCCTGGTTCCTCCCAAGGTTTTTTTTTTTATCCTGATGGAGTTTGGGTTCCTCTAGCTTGCTTAGTTGGGGACACTTAATATTCCACAATATTATTGATCTGACTGTGCTATCGCTGCTGTATGAGAACTGAAGTGGACGATGATGACATCATTTTTTTTTTTTTTTTGCAGTTTAGTGTAATAATTGATGATTTTTACAACGGAACTGAATCAACACTTCAGCCGAAATGCATCATTTTCCTGTAATCATTGTAAAGCTGCTCGGTATTGTATAAATAAAGGTGTCTTGACTTGACATCATCGTCAATCTCCTACGGTGTCACACTAGGACCTTAATATTACTCACCCCTTGACAGTACAGGCGGTCGAACTCGTCTCCAATGCGCCGCAGCTCCCGAGCGACCGTGATCTCTGGCCGCATGGCTCCAACAGGTGCTGCCATCTGCGCGTGTTCGGGGCTAGGTTCGGGGAGCCATACCTCTGTGAAACACAACGAAAGGCAAGTTTAAGACGCTTACCGCTAACCATAACTATATTAGCATCCACACCAGTACACAATATCGTTCTGTTTATTCTAAGCGCGCAATTCTCTGTCACTTTAAATGCTTGAGCTTGTTACAGCATGGATTCTGATTGGCTGAATAATGGGCAAATAATGTATACATACAGTATATATGAAGAGTTCAGATGCAAAAGCCTCTAAGTGCCATTTGAAATTTTCTTCTAGAATGATAATTTTTATCAAGCTTGTATAATATTTAAGTTCAGTGATTTCACTTAAATGGCAATGATAATTACCTATTAATTGCTATTTAAGTGAAATTACTGAACTTACTGATAAAAATCATTATTAAAGAAGAAAATTTCAAATGGCATTTAGAGGCTTTTGCATCTGAACTCTTCATATATATATACGTTATATATGTATGTAAATGCATTGATATACATAAAACGAAATACTTTTTTTTTTCTTCATTTAAGGGAATTTAAAAACTTAAAATTATAATGTAAGCTCCCTTTTTGTCTTAAAGCGATGTCCAGAAACAAAGCTAAGTATAACACAGACGAATGTTTTATTTTTTTATTTAAACTTATTTGCAATAAAACAGGAATGATTTTTAAAATTGTAATTTGTATAAAATATCACAAAAGCAAAAGACTGCACAAAAGGCCAGGAGTAAACAAACCAAACAGCAAAAGCAAACAACTCTGCAACCTCTCGTTTGGTTTTTCCACGCATGATTTAGTATTAGCCAACAGCGTTAAATTGACACCTTCTGTCAGTGGTAAGACAGTACTGAGGTTATTATGAGGCTAAACACTAATATCACCCAAATCCTGTCTGAACTCAAACTGATCTCCAGCTATGACTCAAGCGAGAAGCTGTTTGACTGTAATTTCTCATGCTCAATCATATTAGGACCATTGGATGCGCATTTCCTTTCACAACTCTGCTAGACCTGCTCGCAGTTGAACCAGACAATGTCTAAATATCACTTTAAGTTTCAGTCAACCCTTTCACCTCATTCTCTTATGCCTTTAAATTACTACCCAGAGCCAGCAACAACATCTCAAACGAGGACAAATTTTGATCTAAATCAGCATCGGATTGAATGCACGCTCTATTCTGGTTTTATCAAGGCATCTTCATTTACTTTTGGAGCGAATATAACACGCATGAGGTCCACAAAAAAGGGCACAAAGTTCAGACGTGTAAACTCAAGACCTTGTGCCAAAACAATGCAGCAGCTAAAGGTATAAACAGGGAACTCTCCTGTCGAGCGAGCAACAGATGAGAGTCTCGATAAGTTATTGTTGTTTCTCTTCGCCATTAAGAGTGGCTACAGGAAGACAATTATCGCCATCTCATATCTCCTGGCTCTCAATAGGGAAAACAGAGATGGTTGGATCTCATGTCTAGCCTTCACAAAAGACCGGCTAGTCTATTTTGACTGCGTGCACTAAGGCTGATTCTCTGACTGCCTTATTGAGGCCTCGCTGACAGTGAAGGTAAACAAGAAGACAACAGGCGAATCAGCGTACTCCATCAGAGGCATTATGAGAAGATGTGTCTCGGGTGTATTGGGTTTGCAAAATGTTGTGAATGGACCAAGCAGGCCTTTCACAAACACACACACACACACAAAATGGCTAAACACTAAGATTTTAATGGTCTTAACCGGAAATTAGCAGAATTGAAGCTTAAAAAGCCATTGCTGTCTTAGAAAAAACATTAAAAAGCCATATTGAAGTTTTTGGCAGAATATGAAAAGTTGTGTGTGATGAATCACACTGAATGATGAGTTGCATGGTGATTCTCCACAGCGGTGTTTTTTGAAAATCAACTGAGAAATACAATAATAAATGCATCTCTTCTACAGTAAAGCATAGAGGAAGATGTGTCATTGTGTGTGTGCAGCCTTTTTAGATTCACTGTGGAAAGTAATTTAAAGCAAGTCCATCAGGCTCACGGTTTGGCCCAGTCGGAGTCCAGATTTGAACCCTACAGCAAATATTTGGTTTCATATTAAACTCAAATGAGCTGGGAGACATTTTTCATGAACCGTTTGAAGCCATTAACATTGAGTGGACCAGTATATCTACAGTATTTGTGCAATTCTTGCTGATTTCCTAATCAGTCATTTGAAATTAATGGTTAAGAACATTAAAAGACCACTAAATGTTTTGCCATTTTGGTTTAGCCCAGAAGTGTATAGACTTTTCAGAATCCATGTGCACTTATTTGCACTAACACACCCTTCTAATGCAGTGAAGATTTTGATCTTAACAGAAAGGAAATTCAGATTATTCCTTTTAGAGAAGCTGTCGCAAAGATAAATGAGCAGACTTGGCTGTAGGCAGATATGTCCTGCTTCAAAATGAGAAGAACATGCTTTCTGGAAGAAATTCTCAAGACAAGTGCACTGCCAAGCAACAAAACACCATGCTTATCACTGTGCTAATGTAGAAAACTTAGGGCCAAGTTAAACATCCAAAGCACTTAAATGGATTACATTCATAACCAGTGAGTTGTGACAATATAAATATGTGTGTGCACATTTACTTGTACTATCTTTCACTGTTTATTGTGAGGGTTTTTCATAAAGGGATAGTTCACTCAAAAATAAAAGTTCAGCCATCATTTACTCACCCTAATGTTGTTCCAAAACTGTATGAATTTCTTTCTTTCTGCTGGACACAAAAGAAGATATTTTAAAGAATGTTCGTAATCAAACAGTTGACGGTAGCCATTGACTTCCATAGTATTTTTTTTTTCCTACTATGGAAGTCAATGGCTACCGTCAACTGTCTGGTTAGCAACATTCTTCGAAATATCTACTTTTTAGTGACAGGTTCGGATCAAAATAAGGGTGAGTACATTTTCATTTTGGGTGAACTAACCGTTTAACCTTTACAGACCCATGGAGATTTGAACTAATTTAGAAATATATATATTTTTTTAAAGAAAATCTGTTTTATGTACCTGTCCACGGACCCCCATGGCCAGGCCAAAACCAAACTGTCCCTATAGGGAATAAAGTCAGAAATGGTAATAGATAATAATAAAAAATAGCTAGATAATAATGTTTTTTCTTTACTTAAGGCCGCATAAATGATCATATATTAGAACGCGCGTGTAGAGGCGGGAAACCTGCACTCGTCGGCTTTGATATTTAGATCTGCAATAATCAAATTCTTAACGGACTAATCCACTAAAAAAAGAAAACCGTTATGCCTCGCTATCCGTCGTGTCAGGCGTCAAGTGTTGAGTTTACACGCCACAAAATTGTGCCCTTTTTTCGCCAGGGGGCTCTTACCATCATTTTGGTCATCTTGCGCTTCGGAAATATTAGGCATTAGAGGAGAACTTGGCACAGAATCGCTGTCGACGGAAAAATAGCCACTAGAGGACCTGGAGAAGGTTCTGTACATCTGTGACCTCGATTGGTGACTATTCGATATGGAAATCCCTCCCCTTAACGGGTCCCCATCGCTCGGCTGAGGGAAGTCAAAGTGCTCGCCGCCAGCGGTGCTCTCTCCGATTCCCCGCGAGGCCGGGTCATTGGGCATCGTTTGCTCTCTGCAGAACAAACAAAACACTCGTTACTGTCTTTTACAAGCGTTTCGAAGAGGAATTGTGTGGGTTGTTGTCAAGGGGCTTTGAATTTCACGTCTATTTCGTGGGGGGTTAACGTGCGTTTGGAAACGTAGCTTTCAGCGAACTCTAGTAAGTAGCAAGTAACCCGGTGAAGTGCGTCACAAACGAGCTCCACTTCAACTTCCTATTTCTTCCTTACAGCAAAACAGACATGTTTGGGATAAAACTTTATAACGTGCGAAGCGATCGTGTGAAAGAGCTTACAGAGTTGTACTTCGAGCTCGCGCTGTAGCGGAATGTACACGCATTCATCTTTCTTTGTTTCCAACTAGTCTAGAGAGGTTTATTATGTCTGGCGTTTTAAAATGAAAACGCATCCCTGTAGAGTTCTCTCTGTAAACCAAGTAAACATTGCCTGTCACGCCGGCTTGGACAAACATCGAGGCAGCAAGAACGACAAAACAGCGACAAATGTATAAAATACAAAACAAACATAAGTCAAAATAGAACAAAGTCCATGTCATGCTGTTGTTTTGTCACTTACCGCTATATTTGTTGTCAAATTGTCAGTCACTACTTTATACCGACATCTTTACTGTGCTCATAGACGCGCGAGTTCTACACACACACGCGCGCGTCTATATTGCGATTTTTTTTCCTTCGGTTTTCTTTATTGATTGCTTTGATGTCATTTGTTAGCGAACTGCAAAGTCAGCAATTTACTGACAGTAGGCTAAATGAATGCTGTACTGTACGAGGGAGTTTGACGTAACTAGATTGCGATGCCTTTATTCTTTATTTAGTTTCACTTGTCAGCGATCTATAATGTTCAGTATTAGGCTACGATCGAGCGTGGAGTTTTTTCGCGATTTATTTTCACCGAAATAGAGCGGCGGGAAAACAATATCGTGCGCACCAAAACAAAAGTTTCCTATTAATAGGAGCGCGTCGACGCCTCCAAGTGTTCAGGCAAGCAGACAATAGCGCAAACTTATCAAATCTAAACAGACCGCTGAGACGATCGTAAATAAAAACACGCATCGCACAGCACATTCCAAATTACCATATTTTCCTGCCAGGAACATTTCGAGTCTTAGTTCGAAAGTAAAACATAGCGTTTACTTTAGTAGGTCTAGAGCTTTAACTAGCCTACAACCGCGGGTTTTTATCGTATTTACGCGATTTCGAGTGGATAACGGCAATGAAAACAAAGCAAACAGGTGCCTATCGTTATCCATTGCAAAACTCAGTTGAATTATTCAGTCTGGTTAAATGTCAACACGGAATGGCCACTGAGGGGAGTGGACTCGTACAGGCTACTACATCTCAACTTCTGTTGTCTTTGCGACATTGTTTAGCTGGACACACTAGCGACTAGACAGCGCGCATCTGAAGTTTCGGTTTTTTTGGTTCGCCGCCGCGCGCAACTTACGTTTTATGCGTTATGCTTCGCCAGAATAAAACTTCATCGCGGATAATAAAGCAATGCGAAGTTGATAAATAAACAAGCAATGCGAAGTTGATAAATAAACAAAGCAATACCCCAATTTCACCCATTTTGTGAGGTTTTAAATCACGGCGATCAAATGTTCAGACGCGTTGCCAAAGCGTCCTTTTGAAAGACGATCTTACTGTTGAATTATGCAGAAAAAGCGCAATAAAGTTGCCGTAAAGCCGGCTTTCAGAACGATACCCCAGTATGAACTCACCTGGACGTGTCCGACATATCCGCGTAGGCATAAACGCGTTAGCGCATTGTGTCAACGAAGACGACAACAAAACGAATGGTCAATTTACAAATATCCAGAGATTAAAAAAAAAAAAGTTAATAAAAAAAGAAAAAGAAAAAAAAGAAGTACAAATCCAATCTCAGACAATCGATGCCTCTAAAACTCGATGATTTTGCTTCCTTTGGAGCAGTTGTCATATAAGATCCTGTTTGTGAAATGTCCACAGGATTGTTTTGGAGTGTGTCTTTTGTCTCGGTCGGTTTTAAGTGCACTTCCTCGCCAAGGCTCAGTCTCGTGCGTCTGCTGCAGGCTGCAAGTTGTTCTGAACTCTATTTACTGAAGAGAACACACAGTAGGCTAGAAGCAGAGTGAAGCCACGCCCACTGGGGGATGGGCTTGTGATGATCAAGCCCACATATTCTTCACAATCCACACCATCAAGCTCCAAATGTACACAAACACTTTAGATTAAACTAGAACAAAAGCACTATAGTTCTTCTTTTGCATGGGCTAATAGTCTCACCTGTGGTATATTTCAAGTTCAATCTGATTGAATAATGTTTGATCACAAGTGTCATGCAAAAGCATTACTTCTTCTTTTGCATGGGCTAGACTCCTCTGTGGTGTATTTCAGTCTGGTTGAATAATGTTTGATCACAAGCGTCAGAAGTCACAATGCTAAGGGTAATTGCATAAAAACAATGTAATGTTGCACGGAATACAAGCTAAATTGCGATGCATTTCATCCTGTTATTAATTAAATGATGGTTCACTGTTTGTGACAATATTACAAAATGCACAATTTACATAGAACAAATAGGAAAATACCACGTGTTCCATGACATTGTCACAGAAAACCTGGACAAATCAGGGAATGCAACACTTTATTTGCAAAACATTAAGGAATCTCCATGTTGCTGTAAACAAACGGATGTTTTTGTGCATTAACAGACCTGAATAAGATCTAAACTAAATGTACAACTGTAGCATGAAATGTACATCCCTTTAAAGACCCTGACTGAGCAGCTTATACCTAAACTTGAACCTTTTTATGACTCAAATGGTCAATAAAGGTAAAATTGTGGCATTAAAAAACATAGCAGCAGTAATACATCATTGTCTTTCTAACATTTAATGTGTACAACATTGTAGTGTGGTATACTGCTACTCAATAATATGTGTACAAATATTCAATAACTGTGCCATGTGATGACTAATTACATTCAGGCTCTTCATAAGAAAGTGTGTAAACTGCCTCTTGGCACGGCTCACCTGTAAAACTAAACCAACGTAGTTTATTATGCTGTTAGAGCTCAGATCAAGACTTCTCTAAAAGTGCAAGATGTTCGGCATTTGGATCGTTTTGACTCTGGTGTTTATCCCTACTTCCTATTTGAAATCGATTAGGCTGAAATCACTGAAGCTGTAAAGACATCTCATAACTAATTCCCTTTTCCATTTAAACACATTATTACAGTAATAGGACAAGAAAAAGTAGTGTCGTTGAGAAGAAAGTTATTCCATTCTTTTTTTGGTGAAAACATGATGCTTAATCACAAAACTTCCTGTGCAACTCCAATTAGTCGTTTCCTCTCTCACCCAAACATGCAAAACTGTTCCAAACCGACCAGGCCAGCTATCTGAAATCACTCAGTCGTCTTCCATATCCTCATAAAGTCACACGCTCAGAGCTTAGACAGACATTGTGGCTGTGAGTAGAAGGCCCATTCGGCACGGGGGTTCGGGACCCCAGCGATAGGAGCCTGGATGCAGCAGGGCGGGATGTTGAAGTCATCGACCACCTTCAGCGCATCGTCCTTCACTGATTTGCACAGCTCCAAAAGCTTCAAAACAAGCAGACCACAATCACATGAGGGTTAATGCAGCCATTACACAACAATAGCATTAGACAAATATGTGCTCTGACCAATACCATTGGTGCTTTCCCAATAATTCACAATAAATTGCACAATTTTTCATTCATGTCCGTAACACAATCAGTGAGTGACATGTTGCAAAGATACTTTGGGTTGGGGATTTGAACAACCCCTTTAACTCGAAGTATGATCAATAGGAAGCTAATGACACTTGACACTACAGTTCAGAAGGTACCAGCAGAACATAGACTTGACACTGCAACTTATCACGGAACATTCCAGCGCCCTCTGCTGGATATTAATAAAACACACTCTTTTTTTTTTTACTTCCATTTCTGTTCATCAGATGTGCTTTGTGTGTGGTGAAAAGTCATTCATGTGTGAGCCGAACACATTCAGACTGTCATGTCAGGGTCAAGAGATATCACCCCAATGTGATGATACTGCAGAACCACAGCATTCTGGGTCAGATGACATACTGACAGTACAAACCCACATATTGCTGTATTTACTGTAATATTGAGCCTTAGATTTGTGTGTTCCCATATAGACTTATATGGAATAATTCTTCATATCATACTGTATATTGAGGAGAGGTGTGCTAGTGGTTTTCAAAAGAATTACACTACCGATTAAAATTTGGGATTGGCAATAATTAAGGCTGAATTTATTTGATCAAAAATGCAGTAAAATTGTGAAATATTATTACACTTTAAATTAACTGTTTTCCATGTGAATATATTTGATGATATAATTTATTCCTGTGATCAAAGCTGAATTTTCTGCATCATTACTCCAGTCTTCAGTGTCACATGATCCTTGCGGCAAGTTTTAAATAGCGTGCTAAATACAGAAAAAAACTTCCTTTAAAAAACTTCCCTTAAAGATAAATAAACATATGCACATTTCAACCAATATTGTTTATGTGTGATGAACAATAATGTTCACTCTAAAAAATGCTTGGTTGTTTCAACCCAAATTTGGATGAAATATGGACAAACCCAAATGTTGGGTTAAAAATGCAATTAAAAAATTACTGTTGAAAGTTGGGTTAAAATTTGAAATGACATTTTTAACCCAATATTTGGGTTTGTCCATATTTGACCCAAATTTAGGTTCAAACAACCCAGCATTGTTTAGAGTGTATGTTATGTAGATATTCATATATCTTTAAAAGAAATAAAATTGGATCAATCACTCTAGTCGGAGTACAAGAAGGCTTTAATTGCTATCACTGTGTCCTTGATGAGGTGTTACACTGCACAGACATCCAGCGTGAGTCACAGAACCTGCTGTTTTCTCCCACATCGCCTGACAAAGAGTTAATTTATCGTCCTGACACTTTGGCTCCGGCTCAAGTGCTCCAGAGCTCAGATGAAAGACCAATGATCACAGCCTGTCAAAGCTCTGCTTGTGGATTTTGACTTTTATAACCCTGTACTATGAAACCCCTTCATTGTTCTGTTTGAGAAACACTCGCTTATCTGTGCCACATTAACGGTTGAAATATGTTTGGACACGTCTTGCTCAATAGCCGTCTGTCCAATGAGGAGTATGAAACATGTTTGACCTCTCTCTTTCTCTTTCTGTCTCTCTTTCCAGCTCAGATGAAAGGAAAGTATCTCTATGTAGAGGTTTTAACGGAAAGATAAGGAAAGTGTGTAAACGGAGAGAGAGTTGGCATGAAGAGATCCACTGTACACTGAAAATTTGAACAGTTCAGTTTACTTAAAAAAAAGTTTGGAAACCGATTGCCTTATTTTATTTTAAGTTAAGTTAATGATCAGTTAAAAGTAAAGAAAGCAAACTCTTTCCAAGTAAATTAAGTGATAAATATCAAGTTAGTCAGTCTAATGTAAAGTTCTAGTTTACACTACTCACAACATACTCAATAATATTTATTAATACTACATAAGATTTAATAGTAAGATCACTTGAGTAATTCCATTTAAAGGAGTAGTTCACTTTTAAAAAATCTTTTGCTGATAATTTACTCACCCCCATGTCATACAAGATGTCCATGTCTTTCTTTCTTCAGTCGAAAAGAAATTAAGGTTTTTGATGAAAACATTCCAGGATTTTTCTCCATATAATGGACTTCAATGGGGTCCAAACGGTTCAAGGTCCAAATGAGAGTTTCAGTGCAGCTTCAAAGGGCTTTAAACGACACCAGACGATGAATAAGGGTCTTATCTATTTCAAAAATGAATATAAAATGTTTTATAAGCACAAATGCTCGCCTTGCTCTGTTCTGTGATAAGCGTTCATGACTCTCAAACTCGTTCATCAAAATGAACGAATCTTTTTTCGAGTCTCGAGAAAAGAATCGTTCATTTTGATGAACGATTGATGTCCAAGTGATCTGAGGGCGCTGATGCTTCGGTCTGCGCAAGCCCTCAGACGTGGCTGTGGTTACAAGAGGTAAAAACGATAAAAATAATGTTCGTTTTCTCACACAAACCGCTCGTTTTGTGTCTTAGGCCATCAATGTGTACTTACATTTACGAGTCATTAAATCATGTTTAATTTGGACTTCTCTGTGCATGCTCTTTTAGGTGGTGACCATAGACCTCCATTATATGACTGACAGACAAGAACGGTTTGACCTAAAAATATCAAAATTGAAAATACTGCGGAAACAAAGACTCTTGGCATCTTGGATGCCCTTGAGGTAAGCTAAAACATACCAAAAATTAATTTCAAAGTGAACTATCCCTTTAATGTTTAACAGATATTCTTCCAGTGTAGGGAGACTAAATGAATTGGTTATTCATAAACTTTGTAAAATGTAGAGAAGTTGGCTTCTCAGCACAGTAGGACGAGCAAATAATATATTTATACTTTTTTTTTTTTACAGTAGGACAGCTTTAATTAATGAACATTATACTTTAGAAACCTAAATAAACTGGATATTTGTAGTGAGATACATTACCGTTCAAACATTTGGGGTCAGTAAGGTTTCTAAATGCTTTTGTAAGGGATCTCTTAGGTTCACCAATGTCACAATATTAACTTTTCTTTTGTAATGTATTTTAAACTGTAATTTATTCGTGTGATCAAAGCTGAGTTTTCAGCATCATTACTCCAGTCTTCAGTGTCACATGATCCTTCAGAAATCACTCTAATATGATGCTCAAGAAACATTTCTGATTTTTATGAGTTGAAAAAAATTAATATTTTTGTGGGAAACATTTTTTTTCAGGAAAAGTTCAACAAAGAACAGCATTTATTTGACAAATCAAAACATTTTAAATATCTTTATGATCAATTTAATGCTTCCTTGCAGACTAAAATGATTAATTTCTCCATATAAAAAAATCTTACTGACCCCAGGCCTTAACCTTTAAAATGTAGTGTGTGTGTGTGTGTGTGTTAAACAAAACATATTATTTCATCATCTCAGGAGAAAAAAAATTACGAGGTTCAAATCTCTAAACCTTGCAAATAAATAGTTCAACACAT